TGTTGTCTTTGTTATTATTATTATTATTATTATTATTATTATTATTATTATTATTATTGTTATTATTATCATCATTGTTATTGTTATTACCTTATTATCCTTATTATCCGTATCATCATCATCATCATCATCATCATCAGCATCATCATCATTATTTTCATTACGATGATTATTTTCCTGATCATAATAGTAATACTGATAATAATAATTACTATTATTATCACTTTTATAAATGCAGGTCTCCGACGCCGCAAGACTGAGTCGGCAGAACAGCTTTGAGCAGGACAGTCTTCCCAGCACGCCTCTGTCCCCGGAGTCGCCCTCTGTGAAGAGACGCTTCTCCACCATCAGTAAAGCTAGCGCCACTTTGCGGAGACTGGTTGCCGGGCGCAAGAGCGAATCAGAAGACATTACCCCTTTGGAAAGATTCAGGGTTGGCTGTTTTGATATTAATAATTGCTTGGTTGGATTTATTCTCGCCGTTGATTTTCTTCTCCTTTTTCTTGGTTCAGTTTTAATTTTGGTAGGAGTCTCAAGGCACTTGCAACATAAACAGGCCATATAAGTGTCGACGATTAGAGGTGTTATCAGATAGTAAAAAAGGTAAACTAAATAACCCAAACACAAAACAAAACAAAAAACAAAACAAACACACAACTTCCCAACAAAAACAATAGCAATAACAATAACAACAACAACAACAACAACAACAACAACAATAACAACAACAACAACGACAACAACAACAAACTAACTACAAAACACTCCAGAAGGATGACAGATAAAGATAATGGATGCTTGATAGGAAGAAAGAAGCAAACCACACGAAAAAAAACCCTCCAACACCCATCTTGTCCAATTCACATTAAGCAACATTAAGCAAAACAAATCTGTTATATAGCCACACTATATTTGTCTTTATAGTATAGCTTTCGTCCAAGACATTGTAAGCCATGGAACTTAAGAACGCTCATAAACAAACCAAATACAATGAAATATGACATTAAATAAACAATACAACTGAGCCCAGATTTTTTTCTCTCTCCTTCTCTAAGTTTCTCTCTGTCTCTCTGTCTCTGTCTCTGTCTCTCTGTCTCTCTCTCTCTCTCTCTCTCTCTC